CACACCGGAGCCCAGCTCAGGCCACCGCTGAGCAGCTGCACTGTCTCCCTCACTCACCTTGACTTGGGTGTTGGGCTGGAAGCCGTCCAGCTGGTTCAGAAGCTCCAGCATGGTCCTCTGCACCTCCCGGTCCCCTGCCTTCTCGCTGTCGAAGCTGCAGTGCACAGGAGCGGGGTGCATGAGCACAAGCTGTTCCATTTGTCCACGGAAATGGGAGCCTCGACGTGAGGCTCCCAGCCCAGGGACTAGCACAGAAGAGTGCCACCAACAGTTAACCGCTGCGGCACTCAAAGCTTGCAATCAGAGATACCTAGGATCAGGGTCAGGAGCCCAGGCATCCAGCCCCAGGGAAGGGCTCTTAAGTCGGACGGCAGTGAACAGGAAGAGCAGAAAACCAGCCAGACATTGGGAGGGTGTCCAGGGTGGGGCAGAGTGAGACTCTGAGTACAGGCCACATAAATCTAGCACTTATGCTAAGGAGCAATGGGGTGACCTAGGAAGGGTTTTAAATAGCTCTCTGTGTACGACAGACTTTGGATACACGTGAGATGACCAAATTCCTCTTTTGAGAGCAATGTAGCAGCTGTGAGAATTTAGGAAGCAGACAAACAGAAGAGCTACTACCCAGGGAGAGGGAGGGAGGAGGATGGGAAAGAGTTGGAATTTAGCTGAACTGGAAGTTCAGCTCCCACCCTCCCTCCCATCCCTCACCACCAGGAACCCTTGGAAGGCCCTAGCACTCCCTTACCGCTTGGTACCAATGGCATCCAATTCATCGATGAAGATGATAGATGGTGCCTTTTCCTTGGCCAAGGCAAAAGCATCACGGACCAGCTTGGCACCGTCTCCAATGAACATCTGCACCAGCTGAGGGCCTGCCAACTTCAGGAAGGTAGCCTGAGAGAGAGGGACAGAACATCAGCCCAGGCCCAAGAGGCTCCAGGACCTTCGAGCCCATTTCACAGTTTCAAGCCCCCCACTCCCCTCCCTGCCCCTGCGCACACCTTGGTCTGAGCAGCACATGCTCGGGCAAGCAGAGTCTTCCCTGTACCAGGCGGTCCGTACATCAGCACTCCTTTGGGGGGCTGGATACCCAAGTTCTCAAACTTCTCTTTGTGGTTCATAGGCAGGACAATGGCCTCTACCAGCTGCCAGGAAGAAGTCCTGGGTGAGGAGAGCGATGCCCTGAGGGATCCTACAACCCTAATCTAATCTGCACATTTCCTACAACACTCTACTCCCATTCTCCTACAATTGAAGGACAAAGTCCCCATTTCCCACCCTAAGGGCCGCCACTCTAGAACAGCAGAATGAGGACAGTGGGCTGGGCACACGGCTCATCCAGGAAGAGTACCGGCTGTGCGAGCATGAAGAACTGAGTTCAGATCTCAGCACCCATGTAAAAATCCAGGCATGAACATAAGCCTATAACCCCAGTGCTGTGGAGGCAGTCAGGGGGATCACTGGGGTCTGCTGCTACCAACCTAGTTTCGGGTTCAGTGAGGGACCACATCTCATAGGAAAAAGGTGGAGAGTGACAGATGAGGATACTCGGCATTTTCTGTGTATGTATGCACCTACACACACACACTCACACTCACACCACACATATGGAGGTATGGAGGTATGGATGGATGGAGGGAGGGAGGGAGGGAGGGAAGGAGGGAGGCAGGCAGGCAGGCAGGCAGGCATTGGGGCAAGAACAGGAGCCTGAGTGGAGTTTCTGCACTGGCCCTTTCTGGCCTTGGGCAACCCCTCCAATCTCTCTGGAATCCAGGCTACCAGCACTTAACACTGATGATTTTTTTCCTTCCCAGGCAACTATTCCACAAGGATAAAGGCACAATAAGGGATTACAATCTGGTCAAACAGGTGAAAACATACAAAAGGCTGGCGAGGCTCCTGGCAGTGGCCTTGCCTCCCTCACCTCCTGGATCTGCTTGTCCAGGCCCCCGATGTCACTGTATTGCTCTGTGGGCCTCTCGTCCACCTCCATGGCCTTCACCCGAGAGTCATATTCTGTGGGCAGGGTCTCCAGGATCAGATAGGAGTCTTTGTTCACACCCTGAGGACAGAGCACAGAGCCTCTGCATTTGTCCCAGCTCTGCCCAATGGGCTGGGGGACAGTTACTTATAAAAAGGAAGCTACAGGGCAGGGGAAAGTCAGGAATCACAGACTGCAGAGAGAATTCCTGCAGCAGTGGCCAGTTCAGAGGCCACAGGGACCCAAGGCTGTGTAAGAAGCTCACGGGGAAGCCCTGCCTGGGCTCAGGCAGCACTCACCACCAGGTCTCCTGGCTTCAGCTTTTCTGCATCCACCAACCCAATCACTGGCAGGAAGTACGTCTTCAAGACAAATCAGAGGCAGAGTGAGCTCCTTCCCCACAGACAGCCCACGCTGCCCCTTGCCCTCTGTCCACTACTGAGCCAGCCTTACTTGTCGTGTGGAAGTTTTGATCACGGCACACTTGCCCTTCCTCTGTGAGTCCAGGTCGATATTGGCACCATCCTCCTCCTGGTCATTGGGATCAACGTCCAGCAACTAAGAAAGAAAGGAAGCCCAGTCCCTTGAACTTCAGAGTCCACTGCTATGTGGGCCAAAACAATTCCCCACACTCATGAGACCACAGGCCCTACTTCGATCCCCAAACTAGCCTCAAGCTTAATAAAATACATTTGCCAGGCGGTGGTGGCACACTCCTTTAGCCCCAGCACTGAGGAGGCAGAGGTAGGTGGATCTATGAGTTCAAGACCAGCCTGGTCTACAGAGCAAGTTCCAGGACAGTCAAAAGCTACACAGAGAAACTCTGTCTAAAAAAAAAAAAAAAAAAAAAATAGATGAATGAATTAAAAAATTAAATACAGTAGATATGCTTGAGGGTTGATAAAATATTTGTTTAGGTGCTGCTTCTGATGCAAAGTCCATCACATCTTTGCAGGCCTATGTCTAGGAAGTGGGTCTCAGGTATAAGGTGTAATAAGAGTTTGGCTTCAAAGCTTGTACCAACTCTACCCCTTTGGGCCCCATCCCAAGATGCCCAACTGCCTCCCCCTTTTCCCATCCACATCCACACACACCTCAATGACGTTGGAGACAAGGTATGGCAGGGTTTTGTTGACTTTGATTTTCTCACTGTTCTCCTTGATTTTGTCTTTCATGGCTTGGAGTTCGTGGGTGACACGCAGCACTTCACTCTTCATGATCTGGGGCAAGAGAAAGCCAATGTCCAACCCTGATTCAGCGTGCATTAATGAGAGGTCTGGTACTGATGATGATGAGGCCAGACTGCCCACGAGACCCCTCCAACCAGGCCTAAGGCTTTCTGAAGGCCCAGCCTGTCTGTGTCCAAACCGCAGAAGTCAAGACAAAAAGCCAGTTTGAAAACCTCCTGGCCGGGCGGTGGTGGTGCACGCCTTTAATCCCAGCACTCGGGAGGCAGAGGCAGGAGGATCTCTGAGAGTTCGAGGTCAGCCTGGTCTACAGAGCGAGATCCAGGAAAGGCGCAAAGCTACACATAGAAACCCTGTCTCGAAAAACCAAAAAAAAGAAAAAAGAAAACCTCCTGGTGAAGGAGCTGTGGAATTGAATCCCTCTCTGAGCCCGTTTCCTCTTCTGTAAAATGGAGACTCATTTTAAAACTGGTGTTATAAGACAGTCTCATTATGTAGTCCAGGCTGGCCTGTTACACAGATCCTTGAGAATACTTTGAAGACCTCTTTGGGAACGATACCTCCTCGTCTCGGGGTGGTCCCCAATCACCCTGTCCCTTCTGATTGCAAAGCAAGTAGACCTGTCTGGGGTCGGCGGGCGAGCCTCGCTGGGACTCCACCCCCGCACTGGAGCCAGGCGCCCACCTTGATCTCACTGTCCAGCAGACGAGTGCGCTGGATGATCTCTTCCGTGGACATCTTGAGCACCTCCTCCCCGATGCCATCTTGCTGTTCAAGGGAAGGAAGACGTACTTATTTCCTGTTACGAAGGGCTGCCGTCCCAGGTCCCCACAGCCCCCCACAGCCTGTTCCCCTACCCCTAACACAGCAGGATGAAGACGTCAGGACTTCTGCCCACGTCCCAAGAGGCACTGTGCGCAGTCCGAGCCGGACCTGCACTCCCAGCCACCTCCTTCCCAGCCCTCCAAGAACGTCTCGCCCTCTGGCCCAAGCTCAGGGACGCCCCTCAGGTCTCCCAGCACTCACCTCAGCTTCATCCCACACGGTCGCCATCTTCTCCTGCCGAGTCACCGGACTCTCGGGCGTCGGCAGCAGATTCATTTCCTGCATGAAAAGGCCGAAACGGGGAGCGCGCCCGAGCCCCTGCGGGAGCCCAGCGCAATCTCTCTCAGCGCCCTCTCGCCACCAGTGGCAAACTTCACCCACGATTCCCGACTCCACAGACTTAGCTCCTTCTCCAGTGCCGAGCGAATCTGCCGCTCGGACTCCGCGAACCAAACCAGGCCACAGGCCCGGGCCCGCCCCGTGGCTCGCTGGTTGCTCCGGTTTGTGCGGGAGCGAGAGGTGGGCTGCTATTGGCCGGCGCGAGTGGAAGGGCGGGGCCTGGTGCCCAACCGGAAGAGGCGAGAGACAGGTGGCAGTCGCGGGGTCTTCCGGGAAATGTAGTTTTAACCGGGCGGGCGACTGAAAAGGCTTTTGCGGAGGCGCATGTTCAAGCTCAGGGTCCGGGTCAACTCGAATTGAAAGACTTGTACAATGCTGGGCGTCAGAAGCGCTCACCTTTTTTTAGTCCCAGCATTTGGGTGGCAGAGGTGGATCTCGAGAGCAGCCTGGTCTACAGAGAGAGTTCCAGGACAGCCAGGACTACTAGGGAAATCCTGTCTCGAAATTTAAAAAAAAAAAAAAAAAGAGGAGGAGAAGATTAGTAAAATGGCACTGCCTCCCCAACCATAAACGACACATCCAGTGTGCAAAGAACCAGAAAAGAGGAATGCCATGCCACCTTAGGCCACATTTTTACTATATACAAGCTGCCCTGCCCCCCATCCCCAGGATTACTGAAGAGAAAAATTAACCACTTTTAAAAATTATTGTTTTATCGTGTGTGTGTGTGTGTGTGTGTGTGTGTGTGTGTGTGTGTGTGTGTGTGTGTGTAGGGGGAGGGTGACATTGTGTGAGTGCAGGCGCATGTGGAGGCCAGGAGTTGGCATCAAGTCTCCTTCACTTCACCTTGTGTACTGAGCTCTTGCTGAACCTGCAGCTCACCAATTTGGAGAGTTAGCCAACTTGCCTGAGGATCCGGTCTTTTCTCCTGAGCGCTGGGATTGGCATTTACACGGGTGACGGAGATCAGATCTCAGGCCTAACGTTCCCAAGACTTTGGAAGCAAGCAATTTGCCCAGTGAGCCATATCTCTGCTGCGTAACAGAAAGTGGCTGGCTGTAATGGCACAGGCCTTTAAACCAGTGCTAGGAAGACAGAGGAAGGTAGATCTGTTTGAATTGGAGACCAGCATGATATACATAGGGAGTTCGACACCAGGCAGCTTACAATGACCTGTTGTGGTTTTCTTGTTTGTTTGTTTGTTTGTTTGTTTGTTTGTTTGTTTTGTTTTCAAGACAGGGTTTCTCTGTGTAGTTTTGGTGCCTGTCCTGGAACTCACTCTGTAGATCAGGCCGGCCTCGAACTCACAGAGATCCTCCTGGCTGTGCCTCCTGAGTGCTGGGATTAAAGGCGTGCACCACCACCACCCAGCTTACAATGACTCCAGTTTCAGGGGATCCAACAGCCTCTTCTGGCTTCTTCAGACACTGCACATATATGGTGCACATAAATCACATCGGTACCCACCCACATATGTTAAATAAATAAGTAAATTGTTTCAAAAAGAGAAACTGCCAAGCGGAAGGTGGTGGCGCACACCTTTAATCTCAGCAGCTGGGAGGGAGAGGCAGGTGGATCTCTGAGTTTGAGGCCAGCCTGGTCCACAGAGTGAGTTCAGAACAACCAGGGTTACACAGAGAAACCCTGTCTCAAAACAACAACAAACAAACAAAAAGAGAAAAGACTGCCAGGTACAATGGCACATGCCTGTAATTCCAACCACTGGGGAGCTGAGGCAGAAAGATTGCTGCATATCTGAGGCCAGCCTAGCTGCAGTACGAGTCTCAAACAAAAAACCAAAAAACAAAAACCCCAAAGATCTGGTGTGGTGGTGCACACCTTTAATCCCAAAACTCAGGAGGCAGAGGCAGGTGGATCTCTGTGAGTTCAAGGTCAGCCTGGTCTACAGAGTGAGTTCCAGGACAGCCAGGGCTACACAGAGACACCCTGTTTCAAAAAATTTAAAAATAAACAACCAACCAAAAACACTAGGTAAATCATTGTGTAACAGGGCCCCAGACATTAACACAACCAAATCCATGATGATAGTGCCGTCCAGGCTGCAAAACTCTGCATGTAGACAGCACTTCCTGCCAAAATGAAAACAAAGACCTAATCCATCAGTCCACATTGTTCTGAGAAAGTCTCTAAAAGTACTAACCTTGCTTTTTAGCTTCTGTAGTTCTGATTCTGGCTAACTGTTAACTGTTCTTGTTAACTAAAGTATGTCAACCCAGAACATGGCTTTTTTTTGGGGGGGGGGTGCTTAAAAGCTCATCCTGAGAAAGGCTCAGGGCTACAGTGAGATTCCAAACACCCAGTGTAATCACTGGCCAGCTAATAAAGACTTTCTGTTGGCTTAAAACCATGTCCACGCAGTGTTCTCTGGTGAATACCCCCCAGTAATTGCTTCTACTACTATTGTTTTTTTTTTTTTAATTTTTTCTTTTTTCTTTTTTTGGGGTATGTGTGTTTGAGACAGGGTTTCTCTGTGTAGCTTTGGTGCCTGTCCTGGATCTAGCTCTGTAGACCAGGTTGGCCTCTAACTCACAGAGATCTGCCTCCCGAGTGCTGGGATTAAAGGCATGTGCCACCACACCTGGCTGCTTCTACTAGTATTAATGCAGATCCCCCAGACTGTCCACATAGGAAGAGCTCAGTCGACAGTGCCTATGCAGTCACAAACAGGACTCAGGTCTGCAGCGCTCTGTGTTCATAGTGACCTTGGTGAGCACCCCGGGTCTCCTTTGAAGATTTATTTTGTGAGTATGAGTTTTTTTGCCTACATGTATGTCTGTGCACCACATGAATCCAGTGCCCAAGAAGGCCAGAAGAGGGCATCAGATTCCCCTGGAACTCCAGGTACAAATGGTGTAAGCAGCCCTACAGGTACTGGGAAGCAAACCCAGGTTCTCGGCAAATGCAGCAAGTACTCTCAATTGTGAGCCATCTCTCCAGCCTCTCTTATGAAGACTGGTGTGTTGTGCTCGTGTCTGTTACTCAGGAGGATCTCTTGATAGTTTGAGAGATGAATCCTAGGCCCCTGTATTATTATCTTCATGGAAGTCACATAGCTTATATGCTCTAAATTGGGGGGATGTTTGCAGTGGTTGCCTTGGGATACAGCTGAAGGCAGATCTTTCTTATGGTCTCAGGGGTGGCACTTGCCTTCTCAGACAAAGCACCTCTCGGGGCGTGTTCGTTTGTCCTGTCAAACATGCTGCCCTGCGGACAGATCACTGCCAAGCTTAGATAAACACACAGAGGCTCAGAGGGTTGGATGATGGACCCAGGGTCATTCGGTGAGTCAATACTGGGCCCATTGACCTCAGATTTCTCCTTTCTGCTATGATTGATCAGCGGCATGCCCAGGACGGCCTGAGAATTGTGGCAAAAGTTTGTGTCAAATGAGAGAGGAGGAAAATGGGTGGGTGGGGGGCTTGGGAGATGGCTTAGTGGGTAAGATGAACAGTACGCAAGCATGAGAGCTTGAGTTTGGGTCATCGAGTGTCCGGGAAAGAAGCTGTCAGAATGTCTGCCTGTAACGAGGGAGGGACTGAGAGCCGGGGCAAACAGGCAGATCCCGGGGGACCACCAGTCACCCAATCTGTTGCCGAATATTTGACCACACTGTGAACCCCGAGATTGCCACTCGAAACTGGAAAAACCTCTTTTTAGTTGTGGTGTGGCTCAGCACTAGCACGCATGTTTAATCTAAGAGTTTTCTGCTTGAATATTGTCAACAGGATTAAATAAAGTCAACCGCAGATTAAGAGGCCAGTTGACAGGAAAAAAAAACTACAGAGAATAAGGAGTCAGGAGGATGGCTAGGTAGACACACAGGAAGTAGAAGGGAGGGGCATCGAGTGTGGGGAGTTTTGTTTGAAATGGGTGTAGGAAAAATCTCTTTCTGGGGTGATGGCAGAGGAAGAAGGTCAGCTGGCTGCTTTCTCTGCCTCTCTGAGCTAGCAGGTTTTTATCCCAGCATCTGGCTCCCGAGTCTCGATTGGTAAAATGAATGATTGACATTTAGTAAAAAAACAACACCAGTCTAGCCTAAAAAGGCTCCAGGATTAGTGAAAGACCCTGTCTCAGACAGGGAGGGGAGGCAGACAGCAGGAAGATAACCTATTTAGATCTCTAGGTTAGATCACAAACATACGCGTGTTAGTGTACCCACACAGAGACACCTCTCTCTCTCTCTCTCTCTCTCTCTCTCTCTCTCTCTCTCTCTCTCTCTCTCTCTCTCTCTCTCTCAGGAAGGCAGGACAGGAGGAGGGAAAGAATGAGAGATGTGGACTGGATTTCTCATATGAAGAATATCAGGACTGATCAATTCTTTTGAGAGCAAAGGAGTAGGATGTCTTGGGGGAGATGGGAAAGAAAGCTGATTTAAGAAGGCTGTGGCGCTGAGGGAGATTAGGATTTATGAGAGGACCATCTCAACAGGACACTGAGATTCTAAGCATGGCCTCCGGGAGAAAGAAACTAACCCAGCTTGGGGCCTCAGCTCCATCTAGACCTTTCAAGGAGGCAGGAGGTCCTGGAGTCAACGCCCTGGTGCCAATGGAAGCTGGATTCAGGATGGCATCCGGACCGAATAGTTCCATTTTAACCCTGGGCTCCTGTGAAGGGACTGGGAATGGAGAAGATGGCCCAGTGTGCTTGGGCAGCTCTGGTCCCCTCACGCTGACCACACAGAGCTCTGGTCCCCTCCTGCTGATCACACAGAGTTGTGGTGAAGGTAAAGCAGGGTGGTGGATGTGGATGTTCTTTGAGAACAGTAAGATAGTGGACGTTTTTCTGACAGCCTTAGGCTGGGGTGAGATCCATCC